GGTCAGGTCCCTCGGCCACATGGGCCCCCCATATGTTATGGGGCTCTGTGGGGACATGAGAACTTCCCCGGGTGACATATGTCAGGACAGGGAGACTACTTGCGGCTGCACATGCTCGCCCGCGGGGTTGGACACCTGCACGAACTTCGATTTGTATGACACTGTTTTCAGAAAAATCTCGCAACAGTATCAGATGCATGAAGATAGTGATCTCGCCTCTGGGTTATACTTTCAGACGAAGACTTCAGTCAGAAAAGAGTGGGGCATCTGTCCTCTCGGCGGCCATAGGTCCAGTCCCCCACGATGGGTCGGCCTGCATGTGCTAGGTGCGCTCGGATCTGGTGTTTCCTGCGACTCTGGTGCTTCAGGGGTTAGGGCCGCTTAGGGCGAGGCTTTTGCTTCCAGCTCTTCGGGGCCACATGGACCGGCCTGAAGTTAAAGGTTCGGTGTCTGGTTTTGGGAATCCATTCCTGGGTTTCGGCATTTGGGTTCCTGGCCGTTGTCCTTTTCGTGTTCCAGTAAGGAAGCCTCGGCACCCTGCTTCCTAACACCCTACGCAAAAAACCCTCTCAAGATCTGAGTCACTGGAGCCTCATAACATCTTTCCGTGAAACTCAGAACTCCCACAGGCTATACCTCGGGTGTCCTGCCCGTCTTGGGCCACAGAGTCAGGAGAGAGCAGATGCTGCTAGAGGCGCCTGCGCAATCCAAATCTTATTCGAAAGCGACGTTAAGTCCGTCAGGTTTTGTGTTGTCATCGGAATATGGAGGGGAGCCGGGGAGCCTCAGCACAACAACATCAACAACAACAAACCATGCTAAGCAAAGAATCACGGCAAGTAACCAATACCAGCAAGCACAGTGGACAGTGGACAGTGATCACACTGACAGGACTAACCGACGGTCATGAGACGAGAGACACTAGTAGGCTGCACTGTGCCGCCTGCTAGCTATGCATTTGGCCAGGCGGAGCATGCAAGTCGGAAAGATGACGACGATTCCTACGACGGTGCACAGCTGCAAGGCTGAAGCACCTGGGGTGTGTTGCTCAATTCTGAAATGATTAAAAAGATTGTCAGGCACATCCAACTCCATTGTCCTTTGCACCGCCATACGAGGAATCTGCCGAATCTATGGGAAACAGCTTCTGGGTTCGGTTGTTGCAGCCATCGTGCTGTTTTGAAGCCTCCAGCACTGAAACTGAAGCTTTCCTCACGTTGGGTTGTCCGGGGCAGAGATTCCTCATCTCACCCCTGCCGTTGCTCCTTGAAATATTGGCTTGTGATGCACTATAAGTTTGATTTTCGATGCTGGGTACCCTGTAATTTAAGTTGCTATGGCAGTGATGGACGCAAAGACCCACAACATATTCATAAGGTCCTGTGGAGGGCATCTCTGGAGTTCATTCTGCACAATACTTATCGGCATCGCCGTGTGGCTAAAGTCATGGGGCCCAGCCTCGGACCTCGTCAATGCCCTTCATCTCAAAGCCTCATGACAGTCTGGTGACTTTGATTTTAGCGACCCCAAGGTGCGTTAGGAAATACCTGGCTGCCTCGAACTCCTGCCGCCCACATGTGTGGGAGCACTGGGGACGAAGTATTCTTGCGGCTCCTGCCCACCTACAGGTCCTTCAACCCAGAAGGCCAAGCTCCGACCAGAAACTCTCCGGGCTTCAGCGCGCATTGCGTCGAGTGCTAGCATGGCCGTGCTGAAGAACAGGGCTCTAAGGCTCTGATTCTTTACTGACTATATACTGACGATACTGCAAGTGCATGATGGCTCTCTCTGAACCCAAACCGGGAAGATCCTGAGCCCCAAAAATGACTGCTGTGGCGTAGCACGCCATCACTTGGAGAGCCGTCTCCGCAGGTCGTCCGGCCGAGGCCACCTCAACTTGGTAGGTGTCCTTGCCTCAGGTTCGCTTAGGGTTGCTAGGGTTTAGTAGGGTGGGTTTTTGAAACCTACGGGTTGAGGACCTGATGGGCTTAGACTAGGGCTAGGTTAAGGGACTGGAGGCAGGAGGAGATCAGGACAATTCGGGCTTATAGGAGCGTGCGGCCTTGGGAGAAAAATCTTGTCGAAGGCATTATCCGTAAGATGTTTAGGAACTCAGGCGGCGTGAAAGGTGCTTGCATGGCTCCCGACTCGATCGGTGTATCCAGGCCCCGGTGCCAAACAATGTCAGGCTACAGTGTGTTGACGGCTCAGACTCCGTAGGTTGCTGTGGGGAGGCTGGCCTGGTGCAATCCGAGATTTAACTCTTACATCATCGTGTTGCATCAGGTTCTACCTCTGCTCCCTCCACACTAACAGGCTGCAGACCGAAAGCAGTGCTCGTGCGGTGTATCTCACGGTCTTCAAGTCTGGTCCCTCGCAGTTTGCGAAAACCCCATTGCCTCTCGCTGACACGGAGAAGCCTGCTTCGACCAGACATTGTAAGCTCTTCCTTGACTATGGAAGTCTGTTGTACCGAGATACAGCTCCAGCAACAGCAAGGGCAAGAACGACAATGATCCGCACCGCAACAACAGCTCCCCACTACACCAGGGCTGTACACAATGTCTTAGTCTTTGTTGTTTTAAATACACACTCTACAGTTGGCATTACCGTTGCTGCTGAGCAGCAGGTTGGAAGTATTCCGGTCTTCAAGTGACATATCGTCAAAAACAACCATAACATCTAAACCCTCCGCAGGGAGCCCTAAAGCCCTGAAGTTCTCACATCCCCCAGAAAAAAAAACCTGCCCCCGCAAAAGAGACCCCACCCTCCTTTTGCCCCAGCCTTCGGCTCCGACTGCTCTGGACCCTACAGAACCGAACCAAGCGAGACGGCATGAGGGTTCGGATCCAGCCTTCCGGATCTTTTTCAGACGGTTTGGGGGCAAGAGCTTGGGATTTTAGGGCTGCATCAAACCCCGTAGCCCTAATCTGCCAAGCTGCTCAGCTGCAACACCCGCAGCGGATAAGTCAGCACTGCACGGTGCCCAACCGGACCAAAGGCAGGCCCCTCGCAAAGGCAAATGTATTCCTTCCTTGGCTCGAAGTTTCTTTGGGGTTTTGCAGTTTGGCATCGTTTTGGCCGTGCCAGCCAAAGAATTTAAGGGTGCTTGACCCAGTCTACCCACATGTAGCTGGACATTTGTTTTGGGTTTCGGGTAGCTCTAAAACCTCAGCCCAAAACGGCCCTAAACGCTTTCAGTTTGTGCTGGGCTGCAGCTCTGGGTGGAGCCCTCCGATAGTCTCCGGATCAAGGGCTTGTGAAAGGTCTATCAACAGGTCTAAAAATGCCTTTTCACCCACAAGGTTTAGGGTTTAGGCTTGAGGGCTTGGGGCTGAGGGTTTAGGACAAGCATGTTGCAGCAGGGTCATGTTGCCAAGCTTCTTCACGAGCCTTCCGGCAAATTGGGCCCCAAGCCAATTTGCCGCCGCGGATCCCTCTCCTGAGTACCCGGACGACATCAGGCCCCCAGGCCCTCCCAGGCCCAGGTAAAGTTAAACAAAGCACCCAGAGCTCCCGCTTCGAACCTGTGCCTGGAAGACTCACCGAAACCATAAACTGCAAGAACTAAAGTCAACCTGAGACCCGAGAAACGCTGCAGGCACGGAAGCTCTGAAACCATGCCGAAGCCGAGAGTTCCTGCCGAGGGGCCTCCCAGCACCAGGGGCATCACCCCGGATGTCCCCTGATCCTGGCGAACAAAGGGGTTTCGGGCTCTCTTGTGAGCCCTGTACCCCTTCAAACCAGAAACCCCAAAATCCTGAACCCCATTGATTGGTTTTTGCAATGCCACACAAACCCAACAAAAGATCGGCTTAAAGAATCAGGCCGGCTTCCGGTCTTACCACAGGAAGAAAGCGAGGTATTGGCCGCCGGTCACATGCAGCTGATGGGCATTGCCCACGACAAGGAGAACGTATCTATATATATATATATTCAAGTGACACCAGAAACTAGTGACCACGTAATGCGAACACCTCCTTCCTTGTGATGAGAGACACGTGAGACCTGTGGCGCAATTGATACCAAGAATGCTGCTGAGTACTATCGTAGCCAATCGTTTAATTACACGGCAACTTGCAGGAGTGACAGGCACTAAAACAAACATACAAATCGAACATCCAACTACCAAGTGTTAGGCGTGACAGCAGGAACATGTTCACTTCATGGGCAGCGATCCTACTACTCAGGAATTCTGGCTCCAACGAAACAACAAACAATCAAACAGTCACTAGGGCTAGAAGCACAATAACAATAAAACATCCTCTTACCACGATTTCAAAACTAGCTCAAGCGACAGCAACGATAAGCATTGCACGAGATATATCGCTACCTTCGAGGCGGAACGATAATCTCACAAAGCTCGACAACATGAGCTGTGAAATGATAGTAAAGTCTGCAAAACCCCGGTAGAATGTAGCACCGAATTCTCTCCAATGCATTGAACCTAACCGAAAGTCAACACCCAGAATACCATTGTTTGGTTGCCAACGTTCTGTGGCGGCCATGCAGATATAAATATAAATACAATGTGACAATGTACATATATGTATATACATACATACATACATACATACATACATACATACATACTCATGAAGATAGCGGAGGGATCGAGAGAGGGAGAGAGAGAGAGAGAGAGTGAGAGTGCGAGTGCGAGTGAGGATGCGAGAGAGAGACGGAGAGAGAGAAAGACAGAATGAGAGAGTGAGAGAAAAGTGTCATGTGAAGAGCAAGAGACAGCCTGGAGACAGCTAAAGTATGCCCTTCACGCTTGCCAAAGCTCAAAACAACAGCAACGACAAGCCGTCAAGGTGACCCAAAATCCGGACCAAAAACGGTCCAAGCGCGACACGACGTGAAGTGCAGCTGGCATGGGCTGCAATAGTTCAGCCACTTTGCCTCGGCTTCGTGAGAAGTATAGGGTCAGGATATGTCGAGAGTATAACCAACCGGTCCACAGCCCTAAGGGAACTCAATGGTGACCTTTCGGAATTCTTTGTAGGGATGGTACTAAAACAGATTTGCAGGCTACTTTATCGACTGCTACCTAAGTGGTTTGAGTGTGTAGGTACGGCAATCGGATTCGAAGGGTTGGGGTTCATTAGTTAAGCTGTTGGGACTGACTAGACGCTGCATACTTTGAATCAGTGGGCTAAGTTCCTTTAAACCTAAAACCTGTGCTCCACGTAACTCTATGAATGGTTCCGCGAATGTGCATGTGGCTCCTGAGTTGACATGCGAGAAACGGCTAGCAAACCCTATGCCACATGTTAAGTCCTCAAACTAAAATGCAGGAAAGACAAGATAAGGTAGGTTCCCTGTTAGGATCGCTTTATGTATAAACAATCAATAAACAGTATGTTGATGTGCCCTGATGGGGGAGAGACCGAATGAAACACTTAACCCACGGGGAGCTCCAGGCAAAGGCAGACAAAAAAAAAAACACATCCAACAGCCTCTCCTAGCAACCAAGATAACATCAACAGAGCTCAGCGGATTTAGGGTTTAGGAGTTTAGAAACCCCAAACCCGAAACCCTAAACCCTGCACCCTAGGTGACCCAGAGCCCAAGGTTTCCCTTAACTTCAGATCATGTTTTCATCCCGGAAACTTCAACCTCCGGGTCTCCCTACACTCGTCGTCCCACGAACGGGCGCTACAGAAAGAGGGGTTACGGTTTAAGGTTTAGGGCTTAGAGTTTAAGGGTTTAGGGTTTAGGGTTTTTATGTATCAAGGGCTCCTCAAAGCCATGCACCACAAGAAATAGTCATTCGGCTTCTACCGCCCAGGCCACGTACCACCTCATCGGTGGTCAACCCAGCAGGCTTGCAAGCGAAAATGACCTGAGTGATGTGGGGCCCAGCGGGCGTAAATCCTGAACCCCAACTCGGCCCCGATGTTTTTTTCGGAACATGTCCATGAACTGTTAGGCTTGGAACCCCAGACCCGGCCCAAAGCTTTCAATAGGCAGCAGGAGCACCGAAAGACCCTTCAAAGGAACTTGAGTCCCAACCCTAAACCACCAAGTACCTATCATAGAGGGTACTAGAGCCCCTAGGGCCCTATATAGTAGGTACCTGAAGGGTTAGGGCAACTATTGAAGTGCAAAAATTCCTGCAGACCGCGGAGCTCCTGGAGCACTGGCCAGCAGCGACACCTCCTCACAGGACAGAAGGTGTCGACAGAAAGCGTGAGCTTCGGCTTTTGGGGATTGCGGGTTTCGTACACAACCTTTGTGTCAAAATGGGGAGCTGAGTTTAGGATTGTATGGAGGCGGTTCTGATTTCGGGTCTCCGGAGGCTCTCATCCCGGTTCAGCCAATACCGGGTTGATGCATTTTGCACGCCCAGAGCGACATGTCCACCGTCAGCCTTTGTGGGGTTTGGGCTTGACGTCGCAACGCTTTGTGTGAAGTGCTTTCTTTAGGGATTATAGGGTTTCAGGTCTGTGAGGCTGCGAAGCTCCGAATCTCAGCGCCCGCAGCAATCGAGGGCTAGTCACCCTCTGACGCGACGGCATGGAGATGCTGCGCTTTGCAGAAGTAGAGGCAGGCTCGGGTTGCAAAGGCTTCCAGTTGGTGTGGAGTTGACGGGGAAAGGGGGGCGGGCAATCGATGCCATGAGCATTATGACCGTTTCCCGTTTCCCTGCCAAAATTATTATAGCCCCCCCCCTCTCTCTCTCTCTCTCTCTCTCTCTCCTCTCTCTCCTCTC